AAATGTAATTCCTTTACTTGTATCTTACATCGTTCATATTTACATTATCGGCAATTTATTTACGTTAGTATGTAATGTACATGTGCTTTAAATAATGTCAGATAAAGTTCCTCGGAAACGCAACAGTTTGGTGTGAAAATGAGCTCAAAATTCCCCATTTTCAGAAACACTTAAACGCCATTTTCTAAAAATCGCACTAACTTTTTTTCTTTAAACGTTTCCAATAGATATTGCTAACTGCACTGTTTAAGATGACAAAGAATTAATTTCGCTGTATCCGTTTGTTTTTTCAAAAATTACACAAATGTAATTTTTCTAAAGATATCTCACACCGTTAATATGCACATTTTCAGCAATTTGTAAACACTATTGCTTTTGTGACTGAAAGTGTTTGAAACGACTTCATTTGAAATTTTACAAAAGCACAATAGTTTTCTGTGAAAATATGTTCAAATTTCGAATTTACAGTAGCGCTTAAACGCCATTTTCGTAAAAACAGCTCCAAATTTTTGAACAAAAATTCCCATTAAGGTCGAGGCTTTACTGTTCTTTAATATTATTAAAATAATATTTCCGTCCTACATTTTGGAAACCGAAATTTTTTTTAAATATGTACTTTGGGCGGAAATAGATGGCAGTTGGCAAGAGAATGTGTTAAGTCCGAATAGCTAGCCGAAGCCAAAGGAAATAGAAAACTAATACGGGGAAGTCTGTGCCATTCATGTAGCACTAGTAGATTGTTCTATTAATTGACAATGAAGCATTGATCTAATTTGGTTCACCGTGGCTTTTTAGGCATTGTATTAATTGTTTCTAGTCTAACTATATACGTACAATATTGGTTAATTACAGAGTGATGAATTGGGGTAGTATATTACGTGTGTTTCATCTAATACATCTTCCAGTCCGAAAGAAGAATTAGAAGAATTCGTGTCGCCGTGAAAATGTTTTGGATATTGCGAAAATAATATTATTGAGTGCAATAAATTTAACGAAATAGTTGTTCGCTTCATAATTAGAACTAGGAACAGATTTAAGACTAGAATTAGGGAAGGACATTTACGTCATGATAGGGACATATGCAAGAAAAGGTAAAGAATTACGATCTCCATCCATGGCGAATCCAGTAAATTTAATCGATATGAATCCCAGTGTGCACCAACACAACTATAGAGGTAAATGAAATAATTATGAGTCGTCATTGCGAACAGTATTGTTTATTATAAGAGCAGCTTTCGATGGCTTAGCCATTATCTTCGCTTTTTCTTATAATGGCTAAGCCAAACCAAAACTGCTCTTACAATAAACAAAACTGTTGGCAATGACGACTCATACAATTATTTCATTGCAAACGCCAACGAAAACTCACCACAATACCAACATACTGGTGAAAGTAAATTTCTGAAGAAAAATAACCACAAAGGCCAAATGACCAAAAAGATTGAAACAGCGTTTCACCATTTCTATTACTCTGAACCGTATATTCAGTAGCGTGGCAACCCAACAGCTTGTGTTAGTGGACTGAACTGATATCTATGACATCTGTGTTGGAGAACGCTATCACATGATTAGTCTTGATGGCGAGGATTTTCCAAACTGATTCCAACTTACTACATCTCACCATTTGTATCTCCTTTTAGCCGTAGCTTTCTCCATCTCATCTGCTACCTTTGTGGCATTCGACACAAATTAACCCCCCTCTGATTGTCTTATTACTTCCACGACTTACTGGAATTAGATCACGAACTGCACAGAATAAGACATCCTATGCTCAAAGAAACATTTTCCCCCTCAAATCAATATATGTTCAAAATTTTAAAAATCGAGTGAAATGAAAATATAGAATAGGCAGAGTTAAATTTTCCTTACGATGTTTTTGTTTGAAGGCGATGTTTACGTGGCGGGAAAGAACAAACGAAACAAGTTTGTAGGCGCCCATGCATGTCTGTGTGTGTGCACAGTTCTACCTTATTTGCACTTTGTAAGATTGCACAACTGTAAAAACAAATTAGCGATAGAGCTACAATGAGTCTGTGCAAACGAAAGGAATATTTCATTGGACAGAGACAATTGGAGATTAGTGGCGTTTATGGTGTTCAACACAAGTTTCACTCGTTCTATTTTTTGTTTCATTCGTCAGATTTTGTACTTTATGAAGAAAGCGATACATCTTTTGTTCGTAATCGTCAAAACTATGGGGAGATCTTGGTCAGTCGTGTCTTCTATCGTTCGCTCCAGATTTGCACTTTTAAAAAATGTACTTTTAGGCGCATAAAGTACAATGGTCATGAACTACTATTACAGTAATTAAATGAAAACACAAATCTGTGAAAATTTCAATATTTTTTGAAAATTGTATCCCTTTTTCTTGACGATGATAAAATTGTATTGACGTTTTCATTTCCTAGGTACTCTTGTTTGTCTTTATTGTGAATGGGTCATCCAGAAGAATGTGGTTTATTCATAGAAAAGTGTTGCAGATGATATAGGTGAGTTGTGGAACTTTTTCAAGTAGAAATTTATAAGAGAATTGAGAATGATTTTTTATAATTCTTGACAGGGCAAGTTGTTTTTGGCGATTAATTGAGGGATTTGTTTCAAGCGCAACGAAGTTAGATATATTTTGATGAAATTTTCTGGACTTTTCATTTTATCATGTTCTGTGCCATTGGATATTTAATTTATTTCTAATGAATTTTGAACTCTGTTTCGGATGGATGATATTGGGATACATTTGTTACGTCACTTTTAGCTTCGAAATCAGCGTTAACATGACCAAATATATATTTATGTGTTGATATCCATGCAATAATGGTATTTTACTCCAATTTAGAATCATTAAATTATATTTCATTAATATGGTTTAAAACTTCAGATGCTTTTATGTTTTTGTTGATGTAATCCAAAATGTGAGTCAGTAAATATAACATTATTTTTTTATATTAATGAAGTTATTAGATGCTTGTGTCATGGCTATTAATATGTCATATAATGCTGCCCTTTCAAATGACGTTACATGATCGAGGGTATAATTCAGGGTAGAACCACAATAATATACGACATCTCCAACTATTATTCTTTGCACCATCAGTGTAAACACGGTAATAATCAATGTATGTGAGTCTCATTTCTGCTAATTTTTTTCCATTTATTAAGTGACTCTCTTTTTTCTTTCCCATACGCAGTAAGGTACGTAGTAGAGGGCAAGATATGTAATGCTGCGCGAAAACGCTGCGGGAAACCAAGGTTTTACTGTTCTTTAATGTTCATGAAATAATATTTCCGTTCCATTATTTGGAAAACAAAAAATTTAAAGAAATAAAAATGTACATTGAGCGGCGATAGATGGCAGCTGGCAAGAGTATATGGCAAGTTCGAGTAGCTAGCTGACACCAAAGGAAATAGAAAACGAATACAGAAAAGTCTGTGCCATGCTGTTGCACCACTAGTTTACTTTTGCAATTTTTTGCTTTTCCCGCTCCTAAAACATTCGGAGTACATTAAATAAATAAACGAATCATTCTCACGTTGGCTTTCGATATGATCAAATATATGTGTCGATTCTGATACTGCGTTTACTACTAACACTGTGAAAATATGGCTACTAGACTCTAATGGTGCTGATAATGTTGACAAAAATATACTAATATCCATATATTGTTTCATCTTACAGTTGTTAGTAAACAAACAATACTCTAATATAATTACTCTATTAGGCGTAGGTGGAAATTGCATCGTCGCGAATGCCAAAGCAAAGTCGACTTTAATATTTCAAATCCACGATCAATTGAAATACCTTTTTTTGTTTTACTCGTATGTTATTTCTTGTTATTGCCTTCGATACGGAGGTGGATAAGCATTGCATAACTTACCTGGATCTGGAGGAACGTGGTTACTACGCAAAGAGGAAAAGGCCCCAGGCTTTTTGTGGCTCTTTGTGGTAACTTTAAATTAATTTCTCTCCATAGCACGCCACACAGGTTTTAGAATAAATAAATAAATAAATATAAAATAAATAAAAATAAATAAATAAAAATAAATAAAAATAAATAAAAATAAATAAAAATAAATAAAAATAAATAAAAAGCAATACAAATTAATTAAAATTAATAAAAAGTAATAAAAATTAATAAAAGTTAATAAAAGTTAATAAAAATTAATAAAAAGTAATATAAAGTAATAAAAAGTAATAAAAATTAATAAAAAATTAATAAAAATAAATAAAGTTTCAATCCTATGAAAGTTAATAATTATTTAGCGTTTTAATTTAATTGTAATAGATTATTAGGAATAAAAATATTTAATTGATCAATTAATAATGATTTTCCGATGAATAATCATTGTTTGCTTCCAATTAATCAATAAATAAAGTTTTCTGGTTGTTATCGCTGGGAGAAGTGGAGGAATGGAACGGTGTAGTGAAAAGTCCGAGCGGAAGACGCGGGCGCACGGAGCGAACCGGGCGGAAGGAACAGCCAGAGCGGCAAGGACGGAAAGAGCGGGGCGGGGCTCGGGCAGTGGCAGACCGGATGGGCGTGAGAGGCAGGCGGACGAATCGTGCGGGGCGGGGGACGCTGCTTAGCAGATTATTGAGATAATTAACCCACGGGCGACGCCTCCCACTAATTACAAGGAATTATGATTACTTACAGTGAGGTTTAAACCTATTCTGTAAACTTTCATACACAACATAAAGTACCGTGGAACGTGATCAGGTGTGAATTCAATAAGTATTCTGTTATCAATTAACAGACACACTCTAACACTGTTTGCTTTGTTGTGACGAGTTTACAAGTTGTTTTTCCACGTTTTTGTAACTATTTAATAAATTAATTTCAATACTTTTTAACATGTTGGCTTTCTTCAATGTTCACGTAATTTTTTAAAACTGGTCATTTACTCGTAGTTAAATTTAATTGTAGGGTTACATTTAAATTAAGTTACATTAAATTTTGAAGCCGTGTGATAAATATGCATTTTTTTTTAAAAAATTACATAACCTCTGCAATAAACTATGAAGTAGGTATTTATGGTAATGCGAAAAGTTATTGATTTAGAAACATTCTGAGTAAAGAGGGATAAAAAATAAATCTCCAGATTTTTCAAAAAAATATTATGCTGAATTGTTATGTTATTATTAACAAATTTACAACGTACACATTGAAAAGTAACAACTGGCACCGAAAGTGGATTTTGTACTCTGCGTCTATTTACAAGATGGCAAAAGGAAAGTGTGTCAGATAGTCATACACTGGCAAGACAATATTTTCAGTCTTCTCCCCGTTATAAAGGAAGATGTCTTCTTGGAGATAGATAAATTCAATGCCCTTTAGCAGATGTTAAACTATACAGTACGTGTCGTCAGCTGAAACAAAAGAAAACAAATGTATTAAAATGTGACGTGTTATAATAAATACACTCTTGTTCTAGTCTCCAGAAAATAACAATAGTAACAATAATTAATTTTTTTCATCGGAAAACGAGACTTTTCAAACTTCCACGTATTTGGGGAAATACTCGGAGATGAAGAAGCTCTGTTTCAATTTGTTCCAATTTTAAGATTATTTTGGAAATAATTTTGAATAATATTGTGTAGGACATCCGCATTATAAGACTACTTTATAATGTGCCTTATAATGTTCTGAATGATTGTACTAATTTAAATACATCAATAGTGCAAAACGTTTTCTTATAAAGAAATATTTCACTCGGTTTTAAACAAGTGAGGCACAAAAAAAGAAGAAAAAGAAGAATGTGGCGAACACTACATATTGAATCGATCGCAGCTTTCTTTTATTAATAAAATGCTACGAAAGAATATACCCGAATAAGAAGATGAAAAGTTCCCCCAAACCAAATCGATATTGCGTTACTCACATGAGAGTTAAAGTGCCGTAGAATGCCAAAAGAATCGTCCTCCTAAGATAATTTGTTGCAGAGATACAATGAGAAATGCGTTTTTCATGTTATATATTTTCTCAATTTCTATTGAGACGGGGAAAAAGTTGAATTTGAAGGTATCAACCAATTTTGGCGCCAAATTCAAACAGAAAAAAACATAAGTTTTTAAAATGGATTTTCGACGAGATAACGTTGGAGTACTCACTCGGTTTTTCCCCCTAGAATGTATCTCATAACATTCTGTTACATATGTTCTTCAGATCTTAAAACAATATGGTAGATAGTACAAAATAATTAAAACTAAATTTAAAAAAAATTAATTCGCGCCAAGATGGTTTTGGATTTTTTTCACCAACGTTTAAACAATTTATAGGTGTTGAGATACGTATAGGGCATTGGTTACTTGTGTGGTGCTTTCGTGTTAAATTGGGTGTTTTCCGGTAGGAAAACGGTGGTGTCTTGTGCCGCACTCGAGTGTATGGTTAGATATTCGAAAGACTGTGACATCATTTTACAGGTAAATCTTATGTAATTTCCAATTTCTAGCCTACGCTTACTAATGATGGATTTTGTTTTGTTTTGTTTACTTATTTATTTGTTTATTTTGTATATTACCTATTTGTAACTCATACTAATTCAGATTTCTAACTTCGTTTCAAGGAATTGCTAAGAAATATACGTCGAAAATAATTAGAATAATATACGTAGAAAATAATTGACAAATCTTACAGCTATTTTGTTTTTAGCTGTGTTTAAATCATAGGGAATGTACTCATTGTATTATATTTCATAAAATGCGTATAGTTGTAGAATATGGGTTACAAAGGGTTGACCTAGTAAAAAAAGTTTAACTTTATACAAACACGTTGTACAAATATGTCACACCAGGACTGGAAGGTCTAGAGCCTCCGACTTTTGCATAACATTAAAGATTGTTAAAAAAGCAATGCCGTTTATGTACATGATAAATATTGTCCCATTGATCCGGTTAATGCGGTAGCCTACATTTCCAGATTTCGCCAGGTACTGAACGGAGAAACCACGCGAAATTACCGGTCAAAGCAGCCAGCCGGTAGAATTTTCCAGACAGCGGCTGAATTCAACCTATTGTTCACAGCTAGTATTGAAAATCCGCCACTGTCGAGAGTCGAACCCACAAGACCTCCCAGTCAGAGTAGAAGTGACTACAGGAATTCTGACTGAGAGGTAAACTTAGCAGAGATAATTACGTCGCGCGATAGAGGCGGTATTTCAAACTCCCGCTCAAACGAGCCTTACAAACCTACTACCACCATTCTATAAGGCTTACCAATTGGCAGGGTCTTGGGAGTGGTTATTTATTACAAACCATTTCCTCCTCCCATTGTACAAGGAGGCCTACCGGTTGGTGGGGCCGTGGGCTCACCTGAGACGATGTTGGCGACCCAGTCGAGGTAGTAGGTGACGCGCGTGTTGACGCCCGGGCTGTCGGTGGCACAGGCGATGCCGTGGCTCACCACGCCCACCACGTGCGTGCGCCCCGTGTACGGGTCCTGCCAGAACAGCGGGCCCCCGGAGTCCGACTGCAAAGGGCACCCGCCTCGTCAGAGCAGCACAAGAAACGAGCAAGGCGCGTTATTACCAAAGTTCGTTAAGTGTTAATAGACATTTCACTTAGGAGTAAGATCCAGGAATTATTAAAGGCAGTCAATTTTTTTCAGATTTATTAAATATAATCTTGTAATAAATTAATAATATTTTATTCTTTTAATAAGACTGAACAGGAAAAAAATACCGTCTTTAATAACTCCTGAGCCATTCCCCTAAGTGAAATTCTAGACACTCTAGGAAATCAACTTAATACAAATTTACATAGATATACTCGAAAATCGGGATTGGCTGTTTTTAATAGCGTAACTTGTCTGGAGTTGTGGATAAATAGTTAAAAATAAAACATTACTTTACGTGCAATAAAACTAACTAATAAGCAAAAAATACAACGGTCATTACTTTGGCTGCGAGATGATTATTTTCAGAGCGACTAAACATTATTAATCTGTCTCACTTTCCATCACTTTGACTCTTTTGGAGAAAGACGGTCTGAGGGTAAGTGACTGCCCTACGACATTCAGAAGTAACTGCTAGGTGAAGTTATCGTACGTTAATGCAACCAACCACACACTCATACGTAAATATTTCTGAATCTGCATTAGTAAAAATATTGATAACAAATGATTAGACGGATGAAATAAATGTTAATTTCGGACATATTCGGACATTTTACACTTGCGTAGAAAATTTAGCAAGTACGTACATAAATAAAGCCTTATATTTGAGTTCTCCACGGTAAAATTTAATTCCGTTTTTGTCTTTCGAAACTGGACAAGCTGATACAATTTCAAGAACAATCTATTTGTCCTTGTCTGGTGCGTGATAGGTGTTTGGTTATTTATTACATGCAAGCAATATGTTCGTTTCAAATATGCTCCACTATATCTTGTTATTGAAAAAATCATGCTTATCGTGTAAGCCAAACACATTTGTATATTTCTGTCAATCAAGTGTAACATAAATTACACCGCTGGTGGCGTAATTGTCAAACACATCACCATCGGCCTTCGCCTGTCGCCCATATCCCCAAGGTCAACCTTCAAAATTGAATGGCCGAATGTTTAGATTGCCTTTGGCTTTGTAATCTAATAAAGTGTTGAATTCATTTATTCTTGTCAAAACTAAGGATCAGTGCTTGTGGTAAGCAGAGAGTAATGTTAGGCACAATACAGGAAAATGTGATTTTGTTTACGAGTGAGAAAATTTTGTTTACAAGGTTACGATAAAAACACAGAAGGCTAATTCTTGTGAGTGAATAAATATTACATGATTTCTCAAACGGACATCGAAAACGTAGTTCATTGCTTTAATAAGAGTTAACCATAGTTGAATAATTCGCGACCATCTAAGTAAAGGAAAGAAATTCCGTATCACGGGATTTGGCCAGGTAATTCAAAACATTAAAATAGTTCAGTTTGCCAGTGTTCGGAATATTCAATTTCATCTTCAGGGGTATTAATACAAACCAGAACAACAACACTTAATATATTGAACTAATCATTAATGATTAAGTATTTGTGTATTTCTTCTTCAATTTAATAAGATTGTCGTTCTGGAGTCACACATTGCTATGTAGTTCGTAAATTGTATGAAATTCACTGCCTTGTAAATGAAATAGTTGTTTTGCCAAGAATAACGAAATTAATTATGGCTTACATAACCGTAATAAACAATGTTTTTTTCAGTTTTATTCAAGTGTTAATTGACAACTGAGTATAAGCGTTTTAAACAATTTCAACCATTTCCAAACTATTTTCAGCAATACTTTTTTTTATTCAATGCCTTTATTTAATTCACATTATAGTGATACATTTCTTAATGCCGTTTGTTTATATTTCTAAGTTAGATTAACGGAATGTTGAAAAAATTAATATTTTCGATGAGGATACACAGTTATATTGTATTTGAAAATGAAGTAAAAAGAACTCGTGAAGCGTTCGGTTTATTGTCGCAGTAAGAGCACAATCACCGGGACGGGCCTTATGTCATATCTTCACATGACTGTTCATCGGCCAACACATCAGTCCGTCTGTTTGTGACTAACATTAGCTTCTAAATCGTATACTGTGTTTGCTCCCTTAATTAGAAGCGACCTTCAGTATTAAAGTAACATTAATTCAGAGTAAGCTGACTTAGAGTAATATGTCGATGTAATGTATAATCCAAGCATAAGGACTCCGTTTTTGAAACAGGTACCAATCTAATTTCGATCGCACTTTGTAAACTCAGATCTCCTTTAGTGGCATGGCACATTTGGGAACTGTGTTGAAAAGTTCCCAGTCTCCGGAGATAGCCCGCATAAGTGTCTCTACCGTAGCTGTACTAAAACATGTATCACAATTTTTCCTTCTAAAACTTCAAGTTAACGTAAGTAGTTACGTATGGAAACGTCAGAGTGGGCCAAACTCGACAGCACATCTTGTTTTTTGGAACTTCCCATTTCTTTCGCATTTATTTGTTTATGAAACTAGTTTAGCAAAAGCAACACTCTCTGCCGCTCCCAATTGCGGCAACTTGCATTAACGTAACTTTTATCGTGCACGCTACAGGATGTGACAAACTACGTGAAATATCGTCCTGTGCTGTTTCCACAATGAGGCGTTGTAGTTCGCGTGTGGGCACAGGTTTTCAACTTTATATTTAGCGTACACTTTACCCAGGTTCAGACTGTGCAAAAAAACCGTAATGTTTTGCGCAAGTGAAGTGCATTACCTGGCAGGCGTCCTTGCCGTAGTTGTAGGTGCACATCTGGCGGTAGCTGACGGTGTTGCCGAAGACTGCGGAGCACTGCGCAGGAGACTGGACGTAGAGATCCGCCTTCAGCAGCACGTTGGACGTGGCCCCGCCGAACTCAGTTGTGCCCCAGCCTGGACCGACAAGTGGAACCACATGCATGCAGAACAACCCGCTCGCTCTTTCTCGTGATATTGCGCAATTTCAGGAATGTCGGTAGTGTATCAAATGTTTGGGAGATTGAGAACAATTCTCGTCTATCTCTTTTGATGTAAAAATCTTTTAATTTTACACAATAGGGTGACGCTTGCTAATAGAGCACGTAACTGCTTGTAATGAAAAGGGCCAGCGATTTATGATAAGTCCAAGAAGGTAGTTGACCCGGGGATCCACTTCATCTCCCTTTGAAAATGGACATGAAGTGATTTTTCTTTAAAAATTTACCTTGTTTTACGTGAAATTGTCATCGAATGATCACATTTATATTATGTAACTTCAGTAGAATTCGTTTTTGCAATGAAAAAAGGCGATGAGCTTTGAATTTTATACATAATCTCGTATAACAATGTTTGCAAATTGATTTTGTCAGTCGCTATAAGCAACAATAAATGTCAATACTGTTGAGTCGATCATGCAACATAGTTGATTACATGTACGTTTTATGTCGACGCAATACCGAGAAATGTCTATCATTTCTGTAATTTGACGTTTATGGAATATTTCTCTCATCCCAAATTCAGAGTGTGTATTTTACCCGCTCGGAATGTTTCGTATGGGTATAGCTAGGCATCTTTGAAACCTTATTCCTGCGAAGGTTACTTTTGTATCGCTGCGTAGACGAAGAAGCCTTTACACACGTATGTAATCATATATGTGTATCACCGTTTTTGCGTCACACGCCACCTACGAGACAATTGCAGTTACTCTTACAAATTTGCCCTGCGTGCGACGTAATTACCGTAAACGGAGCGAGTTTGCAAAACAAATGGACCCACCACAAGTAATGTGCGAACAGGTTTGTCTCCCAACAACGAAAGGCCTTATGGCACAAGGGCAATATGTTAAGTTTATAATGCTTAGTACAATGTAAGTCGTGAATTGTGTTACTTCATTTCTGTACCCTAATATACCTACACTCTCTACATCACAAGACGTTTCATATTCTCTACTGCGACTAAAATTCACGATTTAGAAGCCTACCAGCTTTCATTAAGGTAATTTTTTCAGTTCATTAAGAAATGTTAAATTAATGTTAATATTTATTTAAGAATATTAATGAAAATGATATTTCCAACAATTTAATGTCAATTTTAACGAATTTGCCTCTGCGAAACGAAGAGAAAACAAATAAAGTGAACGAAGTAACACTTCAGAGCATTGTAACACGAGCTCTGCGTCTCTCAGGTTTGTGACGTAAGAAGTACGAAAAACAAGGTAGTTAAAATCTACTGTAGCAATTAATCCTATTATTTGTAGGCAACGAGTACATCGGAAGAGTCCATCGGAAAGCAGAATCCATGCCAAATTTTTGTTTTTCCAAAATATCTGGAAACAAAAACTAAGTTATAAGACCATTCCCCGTTCAAGGGTACTTGAAGGGATTGGGGCAGTAACAAGATAAGCTACACCAGCTACAACAAGCTCCCTGCTATTGGTAAATGTTAATATCTCACTTTCGGTCGAAGTGTTTGTCTCTTCTTACAAGCCTAGCTCTTCATCAGTGCTTTATAGTGTCATGAAATTCTATTGTTTATTTACATTAGAATGTTTTTAAATTCTCCGAATTCTATTTATGATTGTTTGTCAATTAATCTTTAAACTCTGTAGCAATATATCGTTATCTTTATTTCCTTTTCTTAGTCCAATATCAGTAGAAAGTGATAAGAAAAGTACTTGAAAGTAACCAAAAATATCATGCAATAGTCCATTTCAAGAAGTGTTTATTTGAATTGATGTGTGCCAATTTCCTCTTGCAGGCAATATTTCGAAACGAAAATCGTAACAGGTGTGTGGGCTTGAGCTCCTATAGTTTGAGAAGCGAGGTACATACTTGCTTTCAGGGTTATAAACTGTTCCCTTAAAAGTTACATTTGAATGTGCATTAATAATAAATCAAAATATTTCAAGTCATTTGTAAAAACGTTTCCATCAATGTATTGGATATGAATCAATTCGTAATTATTTCTACAACGATGGGTTTAAATAAAACTTTATTCACGAAGGAGAAAATTAGGTACTGAACATAATAGCAAGAGGGACATATTACAGCTGAGTTAATGAAATTATTAAATACGTATCGTATATTGGGTTTTATTTTTAAACAATATATGTTAATTTTGTTTACAGTTTGAAAGCCCTTAAAATCACATTTAGATGATGACATGTCCTGTCTAATGGTCATGATTATTGATAGTGATAGTTGGAGAGTGAATTTGGAGAATGAGAGTTAAGTATTGACGGGAAGTTACATTTAGTGTGAAGTATCTTCTGTTGGTATCTACTGGATATATTCCTATTCTTCAATATATTTACAAATGTTTGAAATACTGACATCATAGCAAATTTTTTTATGCACATTTGTAACTCAAACCGACATTCAATTGTTTATATTTAAAATTATTACCAATATATTACATTCTCTATCCGTTCCGGATAGCATTTTTTGGCTGTTTTTACAATACTTTTATTAACAATTAGATTTGAATCTAAGTCATCCCCACTATCTCATTGTATTCCGATCCGATGATGGCAAAAGCTTGTGATGTTTTTAAGGTGACTAACAGTAAAAACTTTGGTAAAGACGACAACACTTTCAGTTATTAGTATTTAGTGCCGTTGGATAAATGAGTATATTATGAGGCTAAGGACTGTCAGAAGTAATTGGAAGTGCCGTGCAAGTTCAAAATGAACTTCATTTTAAGATAATTGTGAACGTCGTTTGAAGTATCTTGAGAAGAAAAGAGAGGTGATCCCTATTTAGTGTAGTTGTATGTGTCTCGCATAGTCCATGTGATTGGTGTCGAAAGATGAATAAGAGCCTCTGAAAGCTAAGAGTACAATCTCAGATGGATAACACAGCATCCAAGTCGACTGGGATCGGTGCTAGAGGCGGAAGGTTAGCCTCAGGATGTACATGTACGAGTATATTTAGCTAAACAAGTCTCTTAGGAGACGGGTTCATAGTGTCAGAGAAGCAAGTAGTCGTTCAAGAGGTTAACACCAACTTATTTCTCTTGAATGAAGTGTGGTTAATAGAGCAAACACATATAACTAGTTAATAGATACTGCTATTTCGAGGATTAATAAAATAACTTCTTACATAATAAAGATTTGAATTAAAATTGTTGAATCTAGGGTTATAGGTCCTACATATCCTACTAATGTTAATAGGAGGTGACCTGCAATTATATTTGCTGCTAGTCGGACGGCAAGAGTTATAGGACGAATAATAGTTCTTCTAGGGACATTATAGGATTAACGCATGCTTTGTTATTCATGTGTGCTAGTGATATTATTCATGGTTTGAATGATCTTCAAGACATTCGTGGAATGGGTAGTATTATTGATGAAATGCCCCTAAGGTCTGTATGTTTTTTGTTTTTTAATTTCTAATTTGGCCTTCTGCGGGAGGCTAATGTCACTGCAGAGGGGCTGAGGTGCTCACCCGTCACCTCCACCTTGGCGCTGGTGAAGTCGTAGTCTCTCCACCGGAAGGGCAGGCAGGCGGGCATCACCTCGCGGCTCATCTTGATGGCGCCGTCCACGCGCGCCAGCGCGATGTCGTTGTCCTTCTCCACTTTGGGGTCTTGGTTGTAGTACGGGTGCACCTTGAAGTACAGGAGCTTGTACAGCGCCGCCGCGTTGGTGTCACTGCCTGAAAGGGACGTGTCTTGTTGATTAGCCTTGAAGGACTAGGTCAAACGTTCAATCGTTCACTACAATAGGATAGAGGAAAGAGAGAATGCTTTTTTGTTTTTAATCTGCTCTTCTTATTTTCCCCTCGTACATACGTATATACGGAGTAATATTCGTAGTGAAGGGAAATTATGGAATGCTGCGGAAAATCGATTTCCAGATTTAAAGGAAACACATGTTTTGAGGTTACCTGATACCGGAAAAGTGTTTTGTTTCAAAACGTCCGTCCGTCTCTTTGTCCGGTGTATGTGAACAACACTAGCGCTTAAACCATGCATAGGATTTTGTCCAAATTTAATAAACCCCTGTCCGTGTGGTCTGAATCGAATCTCTGTGCAATTCATTAATTTTTGGGGGTACTTCACATGAAGCCCTTGGGACATTTTCGAAATTTTCTCAAAAATGGCTCCAAATTGTTTCTTTATCTATCTTTTGTATTTGTATGTTCTTAGTAAACGTTTATTTAGATACTAGGTAGGAATCCTGTAATGGCCAATGTTTCGTATTACGCGCGGCAAAAATCCACAACGCCCTTCGTTGAAAACCAAAATAAAGTAATTTTTCTTTTCTCTTTCCCGAAACACGATTTAGCTAGTGGTAGAGCTAGGCGCTAAAGCCCCTTTCGAAATAAAAAAGGAATTCAGCTTACCTGTGGGTAGTTCATAGTAATGTCTTTTGACGGTTTTTCGATTAACTGAACCTTCAAATAATACAATAAGATCTTTCAAACCTTGTCGAGATGAACATTTGTCAAAATTTGCATAACATTGTTTCATAACAACGCCTTCGTCGGTTATTCTGGAATGTCCTTATGTTAGACGTTTTCGTTCCGAAAGACACATATATGACAATTTGTGCACGTCTCTATATTTTACATAATTTCTGAAAGTGTCTTGATCAGCCGGAATGTCACAGCTAGTATTGAGAAAATAAGGCGAACTGTTTGTTAGATTTCATGATTTTCATCACTTGAATATTTTAGTGCAACCTGATGTGATTTCAATAGACGTCGAAGTAGTAAGTTTGAAGAGTTGCGTAAAAACAAGTTTGTACTATTAAGACAATTAAGGGCTAATAAAGCAACACATTTTTGCAATACATTTACGTCTGAGTTCATGCCAATAACAACTCTCCCAGGCATGGAATTGTTTTGAGACCCGTTCATTAAGTGTATTGTGCAGCGCAATCATATCAACACATTAGGTTCATCACTGCTGTTTACACAAATGTTTTTCTGTGTTCCACTTTATGCTTTAGAATAATTTGTGGTAGCAACGACCTTTCCTTACTCATAATTCGTTCAAAATTTGCGCGCTATATCTACATTCTTCAGGTTAATTTGTTTATCCCGAACTCAAATTCGATTGGTTTGAAGGCATATAATTTCGTAATGATCATACAAAAATGAAGGCAAAAATATGTCGTAGTTTGTGCCCGTTAGATTAATAAAGGTGTACTTAGGGCCAAGAACATAATAAATAACACTTTTTAAACGTTCTCATGAAGCTTTATCAGATAACTGAAAATGACAAAAAAGCATGTTATAAAAAAATATTTTAACACAGCAAGTCATAAAGCCTGCATGCCCGTATCACAAAAAAATTGGCGGGCACAATATTCAATGCCTGTTATTGGATGATTATTTGAATGTTAAAATAATGATAATATTACTTGGAAACCATTTTAATGCCACTTACATACATTTCTTATGGTCAAGGAAGATCAGGTATTATGGATTAGTCGGGAAGTATGGATCTCTAAAGGCTTTCTTTCTTGCCATGATTTACAAAAAAAAAAAAATACTTCTATCGATACTTCCTCCAGTAACTGCTTCTGAGGATAGACGATACCTGTTTTGTTTTTAAGTTTGTTTAAAACTTTTGAAGGAGGAGTTAAACAATTAAAAGGCTTTTGAGGGAGTTTTAAAGCTACATACGAAGGTGATTACATTCGTCTGGTCTTGACGAGACGAATGGATTTGCTTCATTTTTAGTTGAAAAGAATATTTTCGAAGAATTCTAGAAAAAAATAATAAGAATTTAAGACTACAGTGCTGAAACATTGTGGAATACTACAGTGCCTTTCACGTTCCACGGAAATCCTTAGGTTCATAATATTAAATATTGTATTATATTGTCAACCGTTAAAGCTAATAAAGTAATGAAACACATGATTAAAAAAGTGGTACTTCTATTGATACTTTTACATGCAACTCTATTTCTGAGGATTGAGGATCCAGGCAAATTTATTGTTGAAAAAACAAAAATTAATACGAATTTGCATAACGACCACAAACAATCAACATGAAAGTACCTCCGCAGGAGGCGCCAGGCAAAGTAGTTTAAATGTTCACCGTGTTGGATAAAACGAATTATTATTATTGTTATTATTGTTATTATCGTTATTATTGTTATTATTGTTATTATCGTTATTATTGTTATTGTTGTTATTGTTATTATTATTATTGTTATTATTATTATTGTTATTATTATTATTATTGTTATTATTATTATTATTATAATTATTTGCCATTAATATCCCACGTGGTTACGGACCTCCTGCTAGGCAGGGTAGCTTACACTGAAAAAAGCTCCTCGACCAGCAACGTCGAGGACAGTACGATAGTAACGAGTGCACTAACTGAAATGAGTAAGGCGCGTGCTCACCGACGCTGACGTCGTGGTCCCCGACGAGCAGCCCCACCTGCGCGACGTTGCGGCCGACGGTGCAGTGCGCCGCCGTGAGCGCGTAGCGGTTGGAGATGATGGTGGCGCCGCAATACACCTTCCTCAGCGACGAGTCCACCAGCCCCGCCATGAACGGGAACTCGTTGACTCCCGTCTCCTGCCCGCCCACGATCCGCGACTGGAAGCAGCGCGCGCCCGCTCGTCACCTCCACGCACTTGCTCATCGCCTGCTCACCATTGCTCATCGCATGTTCGTCGCCAAGACTCCGGCTTCTCACCGCCTGATCATCACCTCCAAACTCCTGTTCATCGCATAATCGACCCTTGCTCCTCGTCTACTCACCGCTTGCTCATCGCCTGGTCACCACAGTCTCACCGCCTGATCATCGACTCCGTAGCTCTGTTCATCGCATACACGACCCCTGTTCGTCGTCTACTCGCCGAATGATCATCGCCGGCTCGTCGCCTAGTCTCCGCCGTCTCATCGCCTGATCATCACCAGCACACATCTGCTCATCGCCTACTCGACACCTGCTCGTCACCTGCTCAAGCCCGACTACCGCCTTTTAACCCCAGCCTCATTGCCGTCTCACGGGTAAATCACTGCCGTTATCCACTATCGTTATCTAAGCGCACGATAATCGCCCACTCATCGCCTGCTCCTCACCTGCTCATCACCTGTGTACCGCCGTCCCACCGCTGTCACTGCGCCGCCACATCGAGCTTCCTCTCACCGAGCGAAGTGATAAGAGCCTAGCGCGCTGTCTTCGCAATCGGGAGGTTCGGGTTCGATCCCCGGGCCGGCCATCCTTGCCGGGGTTTTCGTGTTTTCCCTCGGTGTGTGAGGCAAATACCGGGATGGTTCCCCTGAAACGGCCACAGCCTATCCTCCACTTAGTAGTAGTTGTTCCATGAGTAATCGGTGTACAGTCAGTATTTCCGCCCCAGTACAAGTTTCATGTAGATCTCAGAAACAGGTATCCTTGGGTTATATGCGGGTAGTGTATGTTCTAGTCACTTAGACCCGATCCCACCGGACTAGTATTAGATTATCTAGTATAGGTTAGTCTTAAATATAGACCCGAGATCCCACCGATATACTTAGAAACGATATCACACTGCTTGGTTATCGCCTGCAAACATCTGCTCATCGCCTACTCATCCAGTACTTGTGTCCTGCTCACTGTCGCCGATTCACCGCCTTTGCACTAACGTTTCACCGCCGTCTAAATGTCTGATGATCGCCTATTAACCACATAATCGTCGCCTGCTCGTGGAATGCTCGGCGAATACCTCTCGGTTTCTCGGCACCTGCTGTCGTCTGTTCGCCTCACCGTCTACGTGCATCTGGTCAGCGTCTGCTCACAACTTGTCCATAACCCGCTCATCTCCTGCTCACCGCTTTCTTGTCGCTGTCTCCCAGCATCTCAGAGCCTTCTTTCCGCCTGCTCATCGCCCACTCGTCGCTTTTCCATCGCCTTCTCACCGCCCGCTTCTTTGACCACTCGGCCGTTCTCTTACTGCCCGCTCACCCCCTGGACCTACCTGCTCAGCTTTATCCTAGTCATCGCCTGCACATCACCCGATCACCTTCTGCTCTCTATCTGTCCATCGCCTTCTCAGTGGCCGCTCGCAGCTTCCCACCCCCCCCGGCCGTTGGATTCTTAAGCCGAGTATTATATATGACGGTGGGGGATATTTTAACCTGTGAAGTCGCAGGCTTGCGCGGAACGATTGAGATTTTGCACGTCTGAGTGACATCGCGACGGACGCAACTCTGCTGAAGTTTCTGTCCACTGGAAACTTTTTCTGTGGATTTGTTAAATTTACCAAAAGAGTGTACGGCTAAAACGCGGCGTTTAGAGAACAATAAGAATTTAATAATTTTCCATGCACGCGCAGGAATACAATGCTTTTCCAGTGATACGATTAAAGTGACTACCTGATATAATCGAAACACATTCGACAATTAACAATTTAGTAAGTGAAAGACTTTAAACATTAGTATTTTTGTCTGCACGAAAATACGATTATTCACATAAACCCCACAATAACTCCCAATTTTATGTTTTAATATTTCAATTAGAACATAATCGGCTATCCTATTTAGGACTATTCCTACTGTCCCTCTTACTCCAAACCCCAAACGTGTAATGCAGGGTCCAGTAGGGTTCTGTATTCACCTCACGTGAAAACCTCAAATGAGTGTATCTCTTGACTAGGTTACTTTTTGAATTTACAAAGGTAAAGGAATTTGACTAAGAACGATTCTTTGCAGTTCCCAGCTGGGAAAATAGTCCAAAAATGAAAATTATGGATTCAAGAAGGAGGGAACTTCATGTTGTATGCTTCAACCATGCTTGTGTGTTAATGTTGTCGCTATGTCGTGTTTCTTCATCCGAAGCCGTTTATCAGCAGAAATCTAAAGATCTTTCAGCAACGTAATTGATTGCGTTTTGTAAGAACAAGTAACTCTGCGGGGTATAGTCTGTCGTTACAATAGAAATGCTGAGAACAGAACGGAGGTACCACTAAGGCGATGAATGTTTTTAGAATGTCATAAATCTGCTACAGGGAACAAGCAACTTTCTTCCTTTCCAAAGGAAGGCAAATCAAACAATTTCAGTAGGCAGTTTAGAAACACCTATCGCATTCATTTAAAACATGAGCACAAGTATTAATTATTATACTAATCTCTGCTAAAATAATTCACTTCTTATATTTCTTGCAAAATAAGTGAATCACATCTTTAGTAGGAATTTGTTCGCTTATTAATGCCAGTTAACTTCTAAATTTAATTTCTCTTCTAAAACCAGTGAGTTTATCAAATATTGCTTAATCGCTGAAGTTAAAGTATGTTCCGAGAACTCGTCAATCTTTCTGCTAAACGTCTTTCTGCTTCAACTGCAGTTGATAAAACGTGCTGTCTCCGTTTCATGGTCAACTTGCGAAACCTTTTGGCAGAGCGATAGCTTTCGGTATTTCTGCTCTACGCTTTTTCGAATGCCAACAGTTATCCTTCATACCTACGTGTTGCAATCTCTCCTTTCGCAATAATAACTAATTACCTCCTCAATATTATAAAGACATTTTAAGTCACATTGTACTGCGCAAATACCCAACAGCATTTTGTCTGTTCTTTGAAATGCGTGAGTAGTGTTTTCGTAGTGTAATAATTAGCACATCGCAGTGCTTATCAATATTTTTGAATCTGAGACATGCTTAAGATGAAATGTAAAACATCTGGGTATACCCAATCGACTTAACATTATACAGGATATTCTCATTAAAACTGCTTAAAATGTATCTCCTAAATGTACATTGTATTGAAGAGAATGACTCTAAAGCTTGCCCTGCCAATGTCTCCAGAACCTAAATGTAATGTAAAAATGTAAATACAATGTCTCAGAAGAGTAATTTACTCAAATGTTTTAGGTAGGGTAAAATTTTGCAAGATTTATTTCTTTTTTAAAAATGAATGTAAATGCGACAGGTGTTTATAATCTTCCTAAATGTCATTGCAAGTTAAGTAATATCATTTTCCAGAAATACTTACCACGAAGAAACATTTCTCAAATGTTTTGCGAGCTTCCTGATTAGATTGTTCTTGAATTCATAATTACAGTTTTCGAACGTTGGCTTGAAGAAATTCTCATGCAAAGCAATTCTGTCCAGATACAGTTAACAATCATCTAAGCTCATTTAGACAAGCATTTAAAAAGAGTTGTGTTCATATTTCATTTTCAATCAATTTGTCTTAAATAGTTATCTTTATGAGTTGCCTGTGCTTCAGGAAATTTGAAGATAACAAAACTTCGCCAAAGCCCCCAGACGTTTGTTGTCACAACTTCACGAAGTTGTGAAAACTAGCGTCTGAGGTTCTTCGTCTCCTGCCTCGTTTGTAAATCGCTATAAACATATCGAATATAAGAAGCGGAACGCACGTGAAAACCGAAATACCAGAAAAGGGAACATAAATTTAGCGTATTATCAAATCGGTATACATTTATTATAATTTTAGCAATAATTTCTTTAAAAATGCATTCATCTACGCAAAATATTGACAATATTAACCGCGTTTAAAGCGTATTAAACGTTTGCAGCCATTTCAAAAAAATAACAACTTATTTTGCAAGTGGCATATCTCCATCAAACAAAGTTTTTCAGAAAGAGAAAGAATTCACATTCAGCCTTACAGTTCAGCATAGGATTTAACGGTTTTGAAACACAGTCTAAGGGCAGAAACGGCAGTTTTTGGACACGACATTTGGCAGAGTGATGGAGAAGCGATTTAAGATGAATGTGAAAAAAAAGAAAAAATCTACATTGCGTTCAATATAAATTCTTAAATTGAGAATGATAGTTTTATGAGCAGTATGAATTGCATTACGTATAGTAACCGACGTGTAATCAAACAAAACGTTTAAACGAAACATTATTTACGTATGAACCCATAACCAAAGATGATGCCATCAAAGCAAGGACTCACCTGCTTCTTCATGCCACATAAGCATGTGTTAGATCGCACGGCAGTGATGTTACAGAGGAATCGCCCTCCGGTGGACGTGTACAGGGTCTCCAGCACCATGGTGAGCTTGTTGGTGTCAGACAGCAACGTGAACGTCCCTTGGCCGCAGTACACGTGGGCATCGTTCAGACTGTCGTCTCCAGACAGCGAAATGCGAACGCGGTCGCCCGCACAGTTGGTGCTCTGCAGGGCAAACATTCGCAAGATCGTTATGGAAAAGAGCAACAGACAGAACGAATTAGCGCAGAGCCAAGCATAGGGAAACGACGCACGTGAAATATGGAACATACTTTTCGGATGCGATGAATGTACTTAAATAAGAATTGGCGTTACAAAATTCTTTACTTTATTAGGTGAAGTAGATGTTAGACAGTTATGTAATGACGCAGGATTTATATTTAGTGATTTTGTATTTTCAAAATATTTGCAAAACAAGGAAATAACATAGCAAAATTGCAACATTGATGAAAGAGTTTTTTTCTAAAATTAAATCAGTTCTTTAAATCTTTACCGTAAAATGATTCATTCCCTTTCCCTATCCATTTCTCTCTCCGTCTCCTTCCGTTTTCATTCTCTCCGTCTTTCTCTCCGTCTCTCTCTCCGTCTCTCTCTCCGTCTCTCTCTCCGTCTCTCTCTCCGTCTTCTCTCCGTCTCTCTCTCCCGTCTCTCTCTACGTCTCTCTGCTCGTCTCTCTCTCCGTCTTCTCTCCGTCTCTCTCTCCGTCTCTCTGCTCCGTTTCTCTCTCCAAGTCTCTTCTCGTCTCTCTCCCGTTTCTCTCTCCGTCTCTCTCGTTCGTCTCTCTCTCCGCGTCTCTATCTCAGTCTTTCTCTCTCGTTCTCTCTCGTCTCTCTTCCGTCTCTCTCTCCGTCTCTCTCTCGTCTGCTCTCTCCGTCTCTCTCTCTCCGCTCTCTCTCTCGTCTCTCTCTTCTCCGGTCTCTCTCTCCTCCGTTCTCTCTCTCGTCTCTCTCTCCGTCTCTCTCTCCGTCTCTCTCTCCGATATCTCCTCTCCGTCTCTCTCTCCGTCTCTCTCTCCGTCTCTCTCACTCCGTCTCTCTCTCTCCGTCTCTCTCTTCGTCTCTCTCTCTCCGTCTCTTCTCTTCCGTCTCTCTCTCTTCCGGTCTCTCTCTCCGTCTCTCTCTCCGTCTCTCTCTCTCCGTCTCTATCTCCGTCTCCTCTCTTCTTCGTCTCTCTCTCTCCGTCTCTCTCTCTCCGTCTCTCTCTCTTCCGTCTCTCTCTCTCTCTCTCTCTCGTCTCTCTCTCTCTTCCCTATCTGTGTCTAAGTCAATAATCAATTAGTTGCAGATTCTGCACGTCTCTGAGCAAGTGGGTTAATATCGCGAAACCTACCAAAATATAATAGTATGTTGAAGAAGATCTCATCCTGTAGATTACGGTGTGAGAAACGTTTCTTTGAGGTCTAGGCCTCAACATTTTCTATTTTCACGCCCTAGTGTTGCGGGTTGCATGTGACATTGTATTCTATAGCGCCATCTAGTGGAGTTACAAAAAAATTAACAGCGCATAAACCCGCGTGCAAAAAACACATAGATGTGCCAACTTTCATGAAGGTCGGTCAAATGGTCTCGAAGTTACCTGCTCTTATAAATGCCAGCATCCAAAGAAGAAGAGAAGATAATGATACTATATGTGAGGGTAGGTCAATGAAATGTCAGTTTTTTCTTCAAAATGCCAACATTTCGGACATTTATTTGGCCTGCTTCAGGGCTGTAGTTAAGAGTATGTTAAAGGACATATGTTATACTTTTTTGCAATTTTATGTAATTTAAAACTATAGGTAAATGACATGTTAATTCTAAAGATCAGAGTTCGAGTCCAGCACGGGACAAAAAATTACATGATCATGGAGTGTTATTAAGGTGACCAATTTTTTTTCTACAAAAAGAAGGACGAAATTTTTTAAAAAAATACAACGAAAATAAATTAAACGTCTAATTGATTCAAACAAAAATACACTAATTATGCTTACGTCTCTTTTAATTATTTAATTAAAGTAGCATTTTTCCCAATGAATGAATATTTTTGTCAATATGTAATTTTTTAATAATGTATTGAAAATTTCAAAACAAGAAATATCCTTCATCTTGAATTGTACGGAAAGTGCTGCAATTAGAGCATCAACATTCAATATTGATTTCTTGCTTGTCCAAAATCTGAAATACTGAAGCTGAAACTACTGAAAAATGCAAGAATTCCGCCGATCTTGCAATACTAATCGCAACTTTCCGAATTGTGAAGTCCCAAGATGCGTGGCATCTCTGAATACAAGGACTAACGTATTAGATTTAAAATATCGAAAAGGAGGACAGGTAGGAGGACACTTTTCGAGGAAGGACAGAACCTACAAACATAGTGTCCTCCCTAAAAAGGACGGTTGGTCACCATAGTGTTATAATATTGCGAAGCCATTACAATTAATACATGAGTATACATAAAGTATGTAAATAACAAATACAATTTTTATGTTGACTGGCTTTTGTTTTCAAGATCTATTTGTTCTTGAATCCAAGATTTCAAGACCTTTGTGTCTTGCTTTCATGCCGAAATCTTGGAGTTTTCCCGCTATATACGTGTACAGCTGTACCCGAGAGAACTTTGTATTTTATTAGGTATTTTATTTACCAGTATAATCCTCAACCTCCTTTCTAAGATGTTTTCCTTAGTTCATACTAGATCTATCTCGTTCGTGTATAAAATGTGATTTTATTCAACATTTGAATTGCTATCCCTTAATTTCCTTCTATAAAAATGCTTCAGTTGTTTTTAGACCATTCAAAATAAAGTATTTTCGAGAATTATTACACCTGCATTGAGGTTAGCCTATTTTCAATATTCAAAAACAGTTTCGTATTAATGTGAGTCTCTGTTACGTTAGACATTCCGCTTGGTTGTTCCAGTAGAGGAATTCCTTCTATTATATTCACAAGTAAGTGACAGGCCATAATATGCGGAAGCATCTGCATTCCTTATCTTTCTACTGAGCACGCAAAACAGCAAGTGCCATTTCGACGATAACTGCAAGTGTTTTACAAAGTTTCTACGCTCCTTAATCTTAGTTCGTTTCAACATTCTCACAACTGCATTTTTGTGAGTGAGAAGTTGCATTCTGTATTTCGAGTTTCTACGGTGGCCAAATGTGAGAGCCAAATTTGCCCAAAACGCGATTCCGCATGGTAAGCGATGAGTTTCCTTGAAAAGTCGAACGCCAGATAAAGATGCGCCTTTTATTTGTGCGTTTACGACGCCCTCTGCTACTGAATGTAGTATGTATTTTTAAATAGGTTGTCTACTGTATTCTGTATGAGTTTATCATGGTTTATATTAACTCTTCTTCGGAAATATAGTTACCCTTATTTTTGTTTAGTCTGATACCTATTCCTTACCAAAATGAACATTTTTTTAACATACTAAATTAACATTTTCAGTTTGAACAATGGAAAATTATGACAGTTCTATGGGGTTATTCCGATTTCGACTCCGACATGCCTTATTTTATAGAATACTGCCTAAAATGATTTTCCAGGTCCAACCTGTCCCCATAATTCCCATCAAGTTCTGAGAAAATTCCAACTTTTTAGAGTATTCATTAATTATTTTATTATTTTTCACATTTTTTCAATTAAAAATGTTAATGTAAAGTTGACGAAATTTTTTTAAAAATTTAAAAACCACGTTATTAACTGTAGTGGAGAGTGATGGGAGGGGCGCTAAGATACTTTTCGTAAATCTTAGTTCTATGTTAAAGTGATAGTTTAACTAGTCATATGTCATTTGGTTTCGGCAACGTTTTATCTTCTCATCCGGGTGTATCCTTGAGGGACACCTTTGCTGTCATTAGCTTTCGATTCAACTGCAGTTCTAACATCTTTTTCAAGTTATTAAACACAACATTTCTGTCGATAAGTGTGATTTGAGATCTCACACAAGATCTTGTTTTGAATACTAGGCAGATTATTTTTGATAAATTTCAAAATTCCATCACGGTCAGCTTACTAACTATTAATCGATGCAAGTTTATCATTGACAGCGCCAATGTTCGCTGAAAGATCTGCTCGAACAGAGTCCAATTTTGTTTATATTTCATGTTAATTAATTCGTAGCATCGAGCACTGTTGCGAGATTTGTATTATTGGTGATTATACCTGATGCGATTGGAATGCTTAAGACAAAGTTATGGGAGGTTTGTATAATGGAAAACAGCAAAAACAAAAATTGCAGGGACTCATAATACACTCACGCCACGAATACAACTTGAAACAAACATTCGTCGTACGCGGGTTTCAAAACCCAAAGCCTTAGTGTCCACGTTACGTCCTCCAGGCCCGTCTCACTAGGGCGAAACAAGTTACTGTATTGCTTCATAGCATTGAATCTATGTATCTGAATAAATTGGTCACCATTTCGTTTCGTAGCAATAAAGCAAACAAAGCTAATTTTGCACTAACATCGATCAACATCGCATTCAATAATGAGAAATTTTCTCAAAATAAACCAACTCTACAGAAGACGTTGTAGATCATAATATTTACAGACTTTGCAGTTAACTCAATGTTGTTTTTTTTAATTCATGCAATATTTATATTGAGAAAATAATGTTTTAGGAAATAAAACACATTTTTTCAAGTTTTTGCTCCCTAATAGTACAATTGAAATATAACATTATGATCTCGATCTCATGATAAAATTTTGATCTCATTTTCACGGAAAATCGAGAATTTGCACAAACGCACTTAATAGGGTATCTCATTAGAAGCTGATTTTGCGTGCCTTTCGGCAACATCATAAAATATTGCCGTATTTTTTGAAGGTTTAAGGTATTTTATTATATTTTTAACTTGTCAAAATGCAAAAAAAGTAATAAAACAAAACAAAAAGAGGAAAGCCACAGGTTTTTTTCTTTGTCTTCAGTCATAATATATTTAAATATTCTGTTTTTAAATTTTTTTTATCGGAAATAGATAAGCAATAATCAAAAATGTCTTGCACTTGAATCCTATCGTATTCCAAGAATGTATTTCAATATTCTAGAACTACAGAATATGTACTGATAAATCATGAAGCCTACGAAGTAAATAAAATGTAAATACTGTTTTCCTAAATATGTGCTCTAACTCCTTGAATATTCATCTTATACTATATTAATGCATGCCTACATGTCTTCTGCAAAACGTTTTCAACGA